TCTGAGTTATTTTGTTACTTATTTGCAATTATTGTATAAAATTCCAGGTGGTTGAGGGTGAAACTTGAAAACTGTCCTGAGGAGTTAGAGAAGAGAGAGGGAGAAAGCATTTTCTGCCTAGTTTCTGGAGGTTGTGCTGCAAGTTTTAGAGACAAGGCACAGCCAGTGGAGGGAGAGAGAACAGTAACCCACCAGGAGGGAAGCCTGAGGACAGCCCCAGGACGAGGTCTTAAAATCCCTTATTCTAACTTACACTCACTCAGAGTCTGCTTCATTTGGTGGAAATACAGAAATCATTTAATACTCCTTGTCTCTTTTGTAGAGGTGCTTCTTGCCTTCCAATGTAGAAAAAGAAAGGTATCAGAAGAAAGAGATTCTCTAACTCAGTCCCCTGATCCCATAGATGAAAACACTGAGAGGCAGGACATTCATGGGACACGCCTAAAGTCACCAAGCTTGTTAATGGAGGGACAGGATTAAGGGTCTGGTCTGTGAAAGGAACAGTCTATGAAAAGAACCAGAGGCCAAAGGAATAGAGTGGCAAAGAGAGGAAAGTTTCTTCACAGTGTTCCCACCAATGTTAACCCTTTCTCTTGTGAATTGTTTTTTGGTTGTTTAAATCTTTTCACAGTTAACAAACCATTCAAAACTACTCCCAAGCTTCAACATGCCTTTGAGGTATAACCCATTGCCGTCAAGTCGATTCCGACTCATAGCGACCTTATAGGACATAGTAGAACTGCCCGTAGGGTTTCCAAGGAGCAGCTGGTGGATTTGAACTGCCAACCTTTTGGTTAGAAGCCAAGCTGTTACCTACTATGCCACCAGGCCTCCTTCGAGGCCTAAAAACTATGATTCATACTATATTTATCCAGAAACAACTAACTCGATGTTCAGTAAATGATAAAGCCTGGCTATTGCGCATACTATTTAAAGAAAGAGTAAGTTCATTTTTCCACAGAAGTAGTCAATACACTTCCTACGAAATATTCTCCAGGAACGTTGGCATACAATTCTAACAAGTGCCGAGACCGAGTGGAATACTTAGACCAAAGGTTCTTAAAGGGTGGTCACTGGGCCATCAGCATTAACATCACCTAGGAACTTGTAAGCAGTGCAAATTCTCAGACCCTACAGCAGATGTATGGATTCAGAAACTCTTGGGATAAGGCCCAGTAATCTGTGTTTGAACAATCCCTCCACATGATAGAGAACCACTTACTTAATCTAAGGGAAAGGTGAAAAGTCTGCCTTGGTTGGGGTAGAAAGCTTGGTATACAGCCAAGAAATACCAGCTAAAATATAATACAAGGCTATTGATTGGCAGGATCAAATTACCTGGCTTATATATAATAAATGCACCTCTGAAAAGGTTGTGTGTAAACCAAATATTATCCTAAAAAGACTTGCAGATTATTTATGTATAGACAGATATGAACCAGCCTTTATTAAGTGCCTAGTTATACCAAGAGCTTTCATGCACTGTCATTTTTTTATTTAATCTTTCACAATGACTTTTATGAGGTAGTTTTTGTTATCTCCATTTATCAGGTGAGGAAATTGAAATTCAGAGAGATTAATCTGCCCAAGGCCCTCAGACAAATAAAAACAAAGATGGAATTTGAACGTATGTCTATCTAACTACATAGTCCTGTGTTGTGTTCACTCCACAATGCTACATGCCCAAATGTAGCTAGAAAATTGAGTTATTTAAAGCAAGGATCATGTGTTTTTTCATAACTCTTAGATAAAAATAAGCTCCAAAATTTTACAATGCAAACCAAATGAACAAACAATCAAAACAACCTGATTTCTTAGGGGAAAATTTTCTCAAGAAAAGAAGGCAGTAGTGCAATGTGGAATGCCTAGGAAAGCAACAGTTTTCTTCAGAACATTTGTCAAGTAAATGTGTGTCTGTGCGTGTATGTGTGTCTATCTGTCTCCAGGGTAAGTGAAAGATAAATGATAGAGAGAGAGAGAACATGGACTAAGATTCAGTTTTTGCTTTGTTTTTAATGGTGAATTCTAGTCTTCATCCATTCACAGCATAAAGAAGTTTCAAAGGGAGCATGAATCCATTCCCACCCATTTTGTGGGAAATGACCTGCCCAAGGTCACATTGACAATAAGCTGCACAGCTGAAACTAGCACTTAGCCCTCTGGCTGCCAGCACCCTCCCTGCCACTGTTCTGTGCTGTCACCACAGAAGACAAAAACAGAAAACAAAACCCAGTGGCATCAAGTCAATTCCGACTCATAGCAACCCTATAGCACAGAGTAGAACTGCCCCATAGGGTCTCCAAGGAGTAGCTGGTGGATTCAAACTGCCAGCTAGCACTAGCTTAAAATGTTCAGAACAATCCTTATATTGACTTGTTTATCTTATTTTTCTTGCTTATTCAAAAACTATCATCATAAAAGGATTTTACCAAGTTTCATAGTTAACCACTTCCTTCTGTGGAAGCCAAGTATGTCTTAGGTAATAAAAGATACTCCAAGTTTAGATAAAAACCAAAAACCAAACCCACTGCCGTCAAGTTGGTTCCTACTTATAGCAACCCTATAGGACAGAGTAGAACTGCCTTATAGAGTTTCCAAGGAGCAGCTGGTGGATTTGAACTGCTGACCTTTTGGTTAGCAGCCGAGCTCTTAACCATTGCACCACTAGGGCCCCCGAGTTTAGATAAAGCACCCAAAATATTCCAGCTCAGCCTTATATAATTTGCTATTCATAGGATAGCCAAGGGTATATTGCATTCTAAAGACGCAACTTGAGAAAAAGGGTATAGTAGGATATCAGCATGCCAGGGCCTGCAGAACAGCCAGCTGTGCATACTCTAGGAGGAATTTAGATAAAACCCCAGACATTTTACATTTTTGAACTCATAATTTTTCTCATGCATGATTAAGGATGCCAGTGAGAAATGACCTGCATGTGCTGGTTTCAGAGCTGGAGACAGTGTGTGCCCACTGAATCGGCAAAGGGGATGAGAGGGGCCAATCCTAGGATTCAGGAGGTAAACTCTGACACTTCACAGTGTTCCTAATGGACAGTGACCATAGACCACACTGATTCTGGTAACCTTCTCAAACAATAGTGTGCTGTTGCTGCAAAGGAGACTGGAGAGAATGACATGGAGGGCTAAGCACGAGCCCTTCTCCACTGTTGAAAAAGCAATCTAAAGTCCTTGTCTAATGCCATTGATCAGTGGGCCAACAACTCTAAATACGTAGCAGGCTTGGTTCAAACACCAGAGCTTTAAAGCCTAAACATGTACAAGTTACAGGACTGCCACTGATGTATATTTTTCTTGGCACAACATGTTTCACACCCTAAGGCTTAGTTTTCTTTTCTTTTCTATTATGTTTTTAAATACAAGAATGGATTCAAATGATCACTGTAGACTATGATCCTTTCATAACTCACAGTATCTCATTCTTGTCCTGGAGACAATTGTGCAAACCACCTGCATTTGGAAATACCAACAAACAGGGGCATGAAGAAGGCATTAAGTCACTCCCAGTAAAACCTATGAACAGCAGTGACCCTGGATTGATTCTGAGACAATCACTCTTATTCAGCCTGACTAATAAGCAAAAAAAAAAAAAAAAAAAATTTCATGTTGAGTTGATTTGGACTCATAGCAACCCCACAGGACAGAGCAGAACTGCCCCATAGGGTTTCCAAGACTGTAAATCTATGGAATCAGACTGCCACATCTTTCTCATGAAGAGCAGCTGGTGGGTTCAAACCACCGATCTGTTGGTCAGCAGCCACTTAACCACTGCCACTGCACCACCAGGGCTCCTTACTTATAACCAAGGACACATATATATTAAAGACAACTGATAGTTTTAGGATTGAGGTCCTATGATTACAGAATATAGGTTTTCTTGTGAGACACTTAAACTATTACATAGAGACCAAGCTGACTTTGGCTTCATAAATTCTATAGTCAAACCAGGGCTTCGAACCGGTTTGTTCTGGTTTGAACCCCTGCTAAGAATTTGCAATTCCACCCCAGATATACTGAATCAGAATCTACAGTTTAACAAGATGCCCAGGTGATTCTTATGCACAATAAATTTTGAGAACCACTGCTCTACTAGTGGTTCTCAGAACTGGTCCCTAACTAGCGTCATTAGCATCACCTGGGAACTCGTTAGAAATACAAATGCTCAGCAGGGATTTGAACCAGAACAAACTGGTTAAAGCCCTTGGTGAAACCAATCAAGTTAATAAACCTGATTGTTCTTAAAGAAAGACACTATGATACCCTAGCAGGGGACTAGTCTTGAAGATCTGCCTCAGAAACGTGACTAGACCACCAACTATGAGGCCTTCAAGCAATAGGTGTGCATTGAATTAACCTTGCTAATGAAGAGAGAGCTAAAAATTTGCCTGGCCACTAAAATAAACCGTATTAGGCTGCTAACTGCTTACTTAGGAGGTTTGTTATTCACTTAGGGCCCGTGGCTACCTACAAGGCTAAATTAAATAAAACCCATAAATACTGATCCTCAAACTTAATATTCAGCAGAATCGCCTGAAGGATTTTTTAAACCACAGATTGCTGGGCCCCAGAGTTTTTGATTCACTAGTTCAGGAGTTAGACCCAGTAATTATTTGCATTCTAACAAGTTATAGGGTGACACTGATGCTGCTGGTCTAGAGACCACATTTTGAGAATCACTGTAGCAGAACATTAACAACATCCTACTGGATTTTAGGAGTCCGTGGGTGATGCAAATGGTTAACGCACTGAGCTGCTAACCAAAAGTTTGGAGATGCCTTGGAAAAAAGGCCTGGTGATCTGCTTCTGAAAAATCAGCTGTTGAAAACCCTATGGAGTACAGTTCTACTCTGATACACATGGGGTCACCATGAGTTGGAGTCGATTTGACAGCAAGTGATTTACTGAATTTTAGTCCATGTCATTCTGACCCTTAAACCCCTTTCACTCCCCTTCCCCCATCCCTCTTTTCTGCTACAGGGAGAGATGCTGATGCCAGCCCACTTCCTGCTGCTACTGCTGCTGCTCCTAGGGACCCCAAGGGCAGGCCTCTCCCATAAGTTCTACAAAGCCAAGTCCATCTTTAGCTGCATCAACACAGCCCTGTCTGAGGCTGAGAAGAGCCAGCTGGTGGATGAACCCCTGCTAAGTAAGAGAAGCTTCCACTACCTGCCCAGCCAAGACCCATCTTCAGGAGCAGAAGAAGAAGAAGAGAAAGACAAGGAGAAAAGGATCTTCCCTGGCTCTGGGGGTGGGGGTGGAGCTGGAAGCACCCGGTACAAATACCTGTCCCAAGCACAGCTCAGGGGGAAGCTGTACCAGGACAAGGCCAAGAGTGACCGGCGCACCAAGTTCACTCTCTCCCTTGACGTCCCCACTAATATCATGAACATCCTCTTCAACATCGCCAAGGCCAAGAACTTGAGAGCCAAGGCAGCAGCCAACGCCCACCTGATGGCACAGATTGGGCGGAAGAAGTAGAAGTGAAGGCAAGGCAAGAAGGCGGCTCGTCTAGAAGGTCGATCGAAGAGGATGAGGGGAGACCAAGGGTTTGCCCACCCAACTGGTTCGTATTTTGAGGGATCAGTCCAATTTCATAGACTGTTTCAACTGCGGAACCCCTCTGACCTTTTCTTACCTTCAACCCAGTTTCTCTTCTCCTCTGTACATATATACAGAAGTGCAGTATTGTTCAACATTTAAAGATACAAGGCAGTGATTGTCTCTCCCTGTGTCCTCATGACAAGAAGCAAAGTTCCCACATTCTATCTCTCCAACCTCCTCCCTGTTGATCTCTTGCCTGAAATGAGAGTCAGGGTTCCTCTCCTTTCCACACATCAACCCCTGCCAATGCAGGAAGATGAAGAGACACACTGCTCCCCACCGTGCCACCAAACCCCTTCCTGACCTTCTTACCCCCATTAAAACCAATGGCTTCTTGAACTCCTGGCTTGTTTCAGTTCCTCATCCTTCTTTCAGCTACCTTCAAATCTCTGAGCTTGAAAAAGGGAAGGCTAATGAGGGAGGTTACTGATGAATTGAGCACTGATCTCCCAGGAGGGGAATGATTCTTGGAGGGATTGGAAGGTGGGAAGAAGAGATTGAGGGAGGCCAAGCTGGCAGTTCTGTGTCAGCTGTTGTCATTAAATCTAGAGCCACTTCCATGGCCTGGTTCCAACTAAGGGAATAACTTGGGATCTGTTTCAGAATGGGTATCTGGGCTAAAGGGAGAGGGAGCTTTAAATTACCCCCCTCGTGACATCCCAACAACCTCCATGGCTCCCTAGGGCACAGGGCCACTAATTCTGTAGCAAGTTCTCATTGAACCCACAGTAACTGCCCCGCATTATGCTGCGTACTGTGGGAGATACAAGATGTATGAGGTAAGGCCTCTGTTCTACATGAGGCAACACTCTAAGTGAACAGACACAACCAAAATTTGAAACAGAAGCAAATACTGCCAGGGAGTATGTAAGTGACGAACTGTGAAGTGATAGCAATTAGTGTAATATATATATATGAGGAATTGGAGATGAGATCATTTAATATAAGCAAAATTCCACTAAAAATGGGCATCAGCAGTAACTCTGATGGTGTTCTCGTGGCAAAGTCTGAGGACCAGATTCCCAGAAGAGGAACCCTGGTCCCTTGTTCCAGTCACTTATGCACGGTGATAAATCAATAAACAAACATGTAAGTAAAATGAATGTCTGTGTGGTAAAATATACATACCAGCAACTACCACCACAAGAAGCAAATGGATACAAAAGACAAATGAATGCAAATTTGGAAAAATGTTTGCCACTCATATCAAAGACAAATGACTTATTGATCAAATATACAGAGCTACTAAAATTGAAAAGAAAAATAACAAACCTGAGAGAAAAATAAGCAAAAGATATGAATAAATACACACATAGCTACACAAATACAAATGACTGAAAAATATGGGAAAAGATGCTCAAGCCCACTCATAATAAAAGTAAACAAACTAAAACTGCACTAACATACAATTTCTCACCTATTAGATTGGCAAAAGTCCATAAGCTTGACAATACACTCCATTGCTGAGGTTAATAGCTACTCTTCTCTAATGCTGACTGATGGGAGTATAAACCCTAGAGAGACAATTTGGCAACATTTATCAAAACGACAAATTAATTTTACCTTTACCCAGCAATTCTGCTTCTGGCAGGCATTATTAGAAAAAGTTAAAATTGAAATTTAAAAATTGTTAAATTAAAATTGAAATTAAAAAAATACTCATCTCCTAAAAAGATCAGCGTTCAAAAAAGTGAAGCAAGATGCTACTAGTGTTTCTATCCTGGAACACCACATGGTAGAATAGAAAGAATCCTGGCCTGAGACTCAGAGAATCTCTGAGTCCAAGTTCTTCGACTTATTATGTGTCTATGAGCAAATCCTTTAACTTCTCTGAATGCTAGTGTACCCAGAACACTGCTAGGTGCTTTATGAATATTACTGTACTTAATTCTCACAAGTATATTTCAAGGTAGGAGTCCCTGAATGGTGCAGTTAACACACTCAGCTGCTAACCAAAAGGTTGGCAGTTTAAGTCCACCCAGAGGCACCTTGGGAGAAAGGCCTGGCGATCTACTTCCCAAAAAATCAACCATTGAAAACCCTATGAAGCACAGTTCTACCCTACACTTGGGGTCGCCATGAGTCAGAGTCTACTTGACGGCAACTAGTAGGTAGGCATTGTAATTGCTGGGTGACACAGTAGACTCTTAGTACGCAAGGATTTGACATTGTGATTGGGACTAATCATGGGCCCTTGATTTATAATAATTTGTCATTTTCCTGAAGCACAAGTTTGAATTACTCTGCAAGACAAATCTGCACGAACAAGTTATTTATCTGGTTAGCGAGTAGAGTCAATCACACAGCGTCTATGTTTTCAAACCGACTATATCCCTCTCTACTAATTATCACTTAAGCCCAATATTATGAAAGGCCTGAAGAGGGTTGCTTAGGTATTTTTCAGTTTTGCATTACTGCATTTTGCAGAGGAAATGACTGATGAATGTGACAATGCAAAAAGGTCTTCAGCATATTCTCTCTGTGTATAAGGTCTGTTTGATTCTGTTTCAGGAATTTACCAGAGAACCATACCTGATCCTATGCTCTATAAATATAATATGTGGACATGTTAGAAACTGTCTAGGAGAGAACACCCAGAGAGAGAAAAGGCTAACAGAACTGAGTTCAATTAACATATTATTGTAAATATACTTTCTAAAAATTAAAAAATAAAAGAGATTAATTTATCTCATAAAGATTAGTGGACCTCCTAAAGAACTGAAGGGTCAGTGGTTTGAACCCACCAGCTTCTCTGCAGGAGAAAAGACCTGGCCATTTTCTCCCATAAAGATTACAGGGTAGGAAACCATTTGAGGCAGTTCTACTCTGTCATATGGGGTTGCTATGAGTTGGAATCATACCTAACAACAACAACAATGACTATGTTTGCACTGAGGACCTTCCTCTAAAGCAGATTTAAATTAAAAAATAAAATGCTTTAACTGTATAAGTAAAGAGATATTGGGTAGAATGATGCCAAAGGAGATGGTGATGTTTCCTTGTCAAGAATCATTAAGACTCTTGGGGCCAACAAAACACTAAAGCATCAATTCATCATAGTCAGGAAATGAATTTGCACCATATAAAAGAGAAAAAAAAATGTAATAAAAGAAAGAATGAATATAAAGATATATAAAGTTCATAAGAAAAACAATACAAAAATTTGAAGTATTTTGGGGGAGATAAAATTACTTAGTTTGGGTGAAAATTCTCAGCAAAATATCTGTCAGGTTATTCGTGTTGGTTTGAGCAGGTTTTTTAAAAAATTAGTTAGGCATCCTTTTGAAAATAAATAGCCAGACGGGGCCAAGATGGCAGAGTAGTCATACGCTTCCAGTGGACCCTCTTACAACAAAGACCTGAAAAAACAAGTGATTGGATTATATATGGCAATCTGGGGGCCCTGAACATCAAAGGCAGAGTTGAGGAACTGACTGAGTGGCAGGGGGAGGGAGAGATGGTTCGGAAGCAGCAAGGAGTTGCCAGACCTGACCCAGCGAAAGCCTGAGCCCTTCAGGCCTGAGCAGCTCGTGGGTGAGCCGTGAGGCAGGTAAGTGGCAGTCTTTGGGAGGCACATTTTCTGCACCTGGAGAGACTGACCACCAGAGAGTCTACATGGCCACTCAGAACCAGTGAGAAGCAGCCATCATCGGCAAAAGATAAGTAATTGCGTACAGCTTACCGTGCGGATCAAAAACACCCTCCTTAGGGAAAAACCTCTCTCCCATTTACCTCCCTGGTCCCTGCTCTGCACTGGGTCCCGGACCTGCTTCAGCAATTACCAAGTCCCATGGGCTGGAAGTAGGATCTGTCACACACCCGGAGCCATTCTCCCCACCTTGGAGATTTAACAAGTTAACAAGGGGGAAAAAATAAACTGCCAGCTTCCCTAAGTCAGGAACCCAGGGTAGGCACAGCTCCTTTGCCTAGACATAGGCATAAGGGATCCATGGACTCTGAGTACCTTTCCCCCCGCATAGACTTGTGTGGGCCCATTTCAACAGCGTAGGCCCTCATTACCTCAGTACAACACGGTATATACCAGAACTCTAACTTCAACTGTTTCAGCTGTGAAGTGGCAGGTTATTGACATTTGGCACTGTTCTGCCCATTAAGCAGGGTCTTCACCTACCCACATCAGGGGCATGAGGACTGGTGGCTCCACCCACGCCACCTGTGATAGGGGCCCATGAATAAGAGGTGCCTCCCAGTCCCTATAGCCAATAGCATTAGGTGCTCATAGTCCAGCTGCAAAACCCACCCACCTGTGCGCTCTAGGGAACAGGGACACACCTTTCTCCTGGACACTCAGGGGCAGCCATCAGCCCCCTGCCTTGCTCAGAGTGTGTCCCCCTGCTGTAGCAAGATGCCAGTGCCAATACCAATCATGCATGCCTGTCTAGGACTGTGAGAGCCTACACCACACACTTGGTGGCTATCACCCTGGGCACCTGAGCTGAACCCATACAGGAGGAGTGGTTGGACTCCTGAGCTCACATATCTAGTAACAGACCTAACCACCTGGTAACAGGACGTTAGAACTTCAAAAGTGACAATAATCAAACTAGCTCATATGAGCATCCTAGTTGGGCATATCAAAACAAAACAAGAAGCTAGGACACAGTAGGCAAACATAAAAGAAATAAATATAATAACTTATTGATGGCTCGGAGACAACAGTCAATATCAAATCACATAAAGAGGCAATCCATAATGGCTTCAGCAAGCTCCCAAAATAAAGAATCTAGAAATTTCCCAGAGGAGGAAAATTTCTTAGAATTACTGGATGCAGAATGCAAAACATTAATATACAGAACTCTTCAAGAAATTAGGAAGGAAATTAAGCAAAATTCAGAACATGTAATAGAGGAAATTAA